CGCCGTGAGGTATAACATATCCGCGCTCTAAAATATTATTCCCTGCATTCTACTCACACACTCCACTCATCTTACATTCCAGAGATAAGGACAATAAAGAAGGGTACATCCCCATATTACTGCAAGCGGACTGAATAACGTAGCTTTATGGTCAAGTGTACGGCCAACATATGAGGAAGAGTCAGTAAATAGGTCACAAATTGAAGTAAAACAGCTGTAATGGACGTAATAGGTTTTCTGTTTGTCACTAGCTAACATCATGACAGTCTAGGTAGCAGATGCGCATGTTGAGAGGCTGGGTTTAGTAGTCAAAACGGTGACCTTGCTTGAGGCGTCTACTACCGAAGAACATCGTTCTGCTGTGCTATTTCGGTGGTCAAAAGGACTCAGTGCAAAGGATATTCATAAAGAAATGTTTCCTGTTTACGTTTGGAAGTGTTTGTAGCGTAAAGAGGTTCGCAACTGGGTGGCAAACGTTTCGTTGAAGAAGAAAAGTTTGAAACAGAGGTGCGGAAGTGGCTGAGATGCACTGGTAAAGCGATAGGACAAGTGTATCAATGTTGGTGGGGGGGGGGATATGTCGACAGATAAATGTCTTTTCCGGGTTCGAATGTCACATGTTTTGCGCTTGATGCCCATTTGCGACCTATTTACTGACTCTCCCTCCTATATCCAGAAAGGCAGACCGTATCGCTTTTGTTTAAGGCTCGATAATAGAGCACAGATGTTTATACAAGGATCGCCTACAGTGCTTCAGTTTTCAACAAGACGCCTGTTAACGGCGCTACAAATCCGCTGTCCTTTCTATACATTTGTAACGTTATAAGGACGATTTACAAATACGTGGTTCGTTACAGAAGAGGCACTTCACATTATTAGTGACTCAGATTTGATTTAATATCGGTACAGAATGGTTAAGGCACTATGCTACAAGCCGGAAGGTCTCGGGTTCAAGTCCCAATGAGACCATTGGATTTTTTTCAGTCGACCTAATCCTTCCAGCCGCACTATGGCACTGGGGTTCACCCAGCCTCTAACAGAAATGAGTACCATAAATTAATTAAATAATTTTCCTGGGGAGTAAATCGCGGCCGGCGCGTAAGGCTGACAACCTCACTGCCATCTTTGAGCCGACTGTCTAGATAATGTGAGACCCTCAACGTCTCACAACCCTGTGGGTCTTCAAGGCCTGGTACAGGGATAGCTTTACTTTTTTACTTTTACAGAATAACATAACACACATTATAATAAATAACGAATTATGACGTAACAGCAGAATACGTGTATCTGTTCACTACATTAAAAAGAAAATCATAAGTCAATAATTTTTTCGGAAATGTGACGAAGTTGAAATATTACAAAATTTTTAATTCTGTTAAAATCTGCTTCATGATAGTTACTCGTTAAGCTTGAAGATGGGAGGGACATGTTCTCCCGAAACGTCGCTAAGTATCAACGGACTACAGGGCGTTATATATATATCGTATCTTCGCAACCACCGCCCTAAATAGCACAGCCTGAATGTGTTTGGGAAGGGGACGCTGAGAGGAGTATTGTATCCATTCATCATAATTTGGTGGACTATTTTGTATTAATTAAGTTTATATTAAGTTAATATCACAAAAATACAAACAGATCCGGCAGATAGCCAACTTTTACACGCAGAAGTGACATAGTTCAAGTTTTGCCATGTGGACAGGAAGTAACATCTGGTACATTTCCTGGAATTCTGGCAGTTTCAGCAAAGTCGAAAAGTCTTTGAGAATTTGAGAGCTGACAGCTTGGAACAGCTATAACTTAGAAGTGGGAGGGCCGGAGCCTCGTCCTCGGATCGTAATACATCAAGTCGCTGTCAACCTTAGCGTCAGGTCAGCAACTGCCGAAATCACATAGCAAAGCAACATGATTGGAAATTCACTAATTCAGGGAACCTCCTAGTTTTCAAACTAAACCAATGGCACGGGCTGGAGGAGGGGATTTCTCTTGGAGTCTGTGGTTCGTGGACCTCAGGATTCAGAGAGAGGGCATTCCAGCTCAGGGAGTCTTCATTCAACTTTCTGCCAAGTCAGACACAAAATTACAACTACGTCCCTTCAGTAAAAGTATTATAAGTTAAATACAATTAAGTGTAACCATTAGAGTTCCCGTTGTATTCAGTGAGCTGAAGCAAATTAAATAATTACTAAGTGCAAAAGTCTGAAGTGGTGAACGTGACTGTAGTGTAGTGACTTCCTGCCCTGCCCGAGCCAGGCTCGTAAGACCCCGGGATAAGAACTCATCTCTACACATTACAGAGCAGAACCCAGATACTCCCGTCTTTCCCTACTTACGGGACATCTAATGGTAGTACAGGAAACGAACTCCCGCCTACCAGCACCAACAACCACAATTCTCCTCCCTTCCCATCTAACTTCTCGCCGTCCTCGAGAAGAGGGAGGAGGGCAGTAACTCCAGTGGAGGCGTCCAGACACGAGGTGCAGGTGAGCCGCAAAACCGGAAGGAAGGGATACAGGTGAAGAACATGTGACGAAAAGTCGGGCAAAAGGCAGTCACAAGTGGAGCACAACGTAAGGGGCCACTCAAGGAGGAGGACGGTTACAATATTTGAATCTAAGGGATAGGAAGGGAGAGTAACAATAGACGCCATAATTTCTTCTCCATGCCAAATATTATTTGCACCGTCAAATAGACGAGAATGAGATTAGAGAGACATGTAGCATGCAAGAGGAGATGAGAAGTGCGTTCAAAATTTTAGTAGGAAACCTGAAATAAAAAGCTAATTGAATGATACGGGTGTAGATGGAAGATTAGCATGAAGGGAGGGGGGTCGGGACTTTCATCTGGTTATTATATTTAAAATTGGGTTTTTAAAATTTTTCAAAACAGAAAATGGTAATGAACCTTCGGACATCATAAGAGGTGCGAAATTTCTTGACCAGCTGAGCGACTGTTAGCGTCATACAGACTCTGCTTCATGGGATTGGTTACCGCCATGACGCTGGGTGTTCTTTGGGCTGATAGTTGTTCATCTGGCGAAGAAATTNTTCCCCCCCCCCCCGTTTTTGGAGCCCGAATGCTGATTACTGTGATATGAAAAGTGCATCCTTGGGCATTGAAATCTGGTGTACATATTCAAGGAGTATCCAATCCCAACCAGATTCCGGTAAGACACGTTTTAATATTATCTTGTATCCCCGATTACGTATCCATATGAACCCTCACATACTTCCCGAAGAATAGTTTTCATTGTATCACCCTTTCCATTCGTGCTAAATGTGACGCCCAATTCTTTGGACTTGTAATGGGGAGGAGTTTGATTCAAATCCCGGTTGAGGCACCGACTGTAGTGACAGAGAGTTTCAGTGATTTTCCGCAGTCATTCAAGGCAGATACCAGAATAGTACCGTAAACAGGGGCAAAACATCTCCGTTTCACATCAGATTAAGTTTATTATTCACTACTTCCCAAAATTTGACTCCGTACAGTCTGTTACTGACAGCGTCGTTAATTGAATCACAAGTTAATCCTCCGAAATGTTGCTGTTTATCTACCAGATTAAACGGCGTCACTTTGCAGAAGAAAATATTATTAATATATAAAACAATGTGTAATTAGGCTGTAATTAGTGTGTCAAAACACAGACATCTGCCGTGAAATTTCGAAAACTATTTGTGTTGCCAGGTTTTCACCTTCATGGGCTCAAACTCACGTCACTTTCAGGATGCAGTAGTTGTGGGGCAGACTGTAAAAAGGAATTTTTTTTTCCGATACTGAAAAGGTCCAGCTTTTTTTTTTTTTTTGAATATTGTATTTACAAAATTGTGCAAGTTGCTTTAAAAAAATTGGAATTCATCACACCATAATCTAGTCTGAGCACGTTCCGTTACCATGGTTACCACAAAATATATATATATATGTTACATAATAATTGCCATCAGAGTCACAGCGCCTGTCTTATGGAGGAAGGATTGGAGGAAAGAAAGTGACGTTCTTCAACCCTTGCATGTAGCAACAAAATGAAATTTCTCCGTTGCTTCTCTCTCCAAGAGGCAAACCTTCTGTCTTTCACTGTCTTTTTACGATGTTCTGTTTGGTCGAAACGAGATTCAACGGAGAGACAGACAGACATTTGTCTGTTATCTGTCTGTACTTCCCTGAGTTATGAAAATGTGACGTACACACAACATGCTTAAAGACTATTATTTCCTAAGCTGTGACGCCGTGCAGCCTAGTAGAATTTCACTGACTTTTCTCGGAAACTCTCTTTTTATATGTTACACTGTGAATTCTGGTACACATTTACGAACTTTTCGGAATAACCTGCAATTTTCAGGGTAGAAACATAAAATATCCTTCAGGGTAGAATAGTTAATTTCCCATAATGAGGAGCTTCATAACTTGTATTCTTCTCCAAGTATAATTAGAATGATCAAGTCAAGGAGGATGAGATGGGCAGGGCATGTAACACGAATGGGGGAGACGAGGAATGCATATAGAAAAGCCAGAAGGAAATAGACCACTGGGAAGAACAAAACGTAAGTGGGTGGACAATATTGAAATGGATCTTAAGAGAAACAGAACTGGATGGTACGGATTGGATTGATCTGGTGCAGGATAGAGACCACTGGAGGGATCTTGTGAACACTGTAATGAACCTTCGGTTCCATAAAATTCTGGGAAATTCTTGAGTAGCTGCAAAATTGGCTGCTCCTCAAGAAGGGCTCAGTCCCAGGAGTAAGTAAGAATAAAATCTTCACGACATAGGAAAAAATATAATCTTCTACCCTGAAGATGGAGATAGCATGTCCTTCCGAAACGTTAATTTCTAGAAGACTATATAGCGTCACATCCAATAACATAGCATGAGTGACTATTTGCTATCGACAATGATCACTTTGCTGAAGTTTTTAGTATGGCAACAGCAGAGGCACGCGTATACAGCAAGGCCAAAGAAAAATTTACGTGTCTGCGCCTGTGCGGGCCTGTCGCAGTGTACTCACCTCTCCTTCAGCTTGTTGAACTGAACTCTGCACCACAATTCCGATGATCAGATCACCAAGCAGCTCCAGCTTGTGGATGGTGACGGCAAGGAGGCTTGAAAGCAGGCGTCAAACTGAGAGCGTCGCTGACAACGACGTCGTTGTCATGATCCCACAGCGTGTGGAGACGCTTAACGACGCATGCGTCTAGTTACTTTCTATCATGAGATACAAGACGAAACCAGAAATGATGATAGGGGGAGAGAAAGCGAATCGTCAGAAAACGTTTCTGTTAAAATTACTGTATTCCGCGATGTGACGCCGTGTAGTCAGGATAAATCGCTATTAATGTTTCGTAGAAACGTACTGCCTTCATTTTTATGGTAGAAGAATAATTTACTGTTTCATCCAGAAGACAAAAGTTTCCTCCTAAACGTTCATGAACGTCTGTGTACTACACGGCGCCACGTCCCATGATGCATTATTGTCCGTGGTCAGCTCTGTGAGGTGCTCAGTTTTCGGCTACTGATGCTGTTATGTTGGTAGTACTGTACCTGATGTCTCACAAGTTATGTCTTCGTTCCTAGAAGCTATGACATTCTAATAGGAAATTCAACCATTTAAACCACAGTGGTTATTATTTTATGCCAGTTGCTTTAGCACTAAGAACTCTGAATTCTGTTCACACAATGTATTTTTTTTGTGTTCCGTATGATTATCACAATAAACGTCGATTATTTCCCTCAACAGCAGTTTAATCAGTTACACTGTCATTAGTTCAGGCTATACGCCGGCCAGTGATTGGGTGATAATAAATATTATAGTAAATTGCAAAGGACGTTGAAGGAAGTGGTCGTGGCCTAATTTGAGCACTATCCCAGAATTCATCTGGACAGATCCATACGCTTCAGGAGGAGAAAATGAAGATAGTAAAATTATCACAAAATATGTAATTGAAAAAATAAGAACGTATTCCTCTAGAAAACAACGAAATATCAGTGTCCCGACCAAGATTTGAACCCGGCAACTTCACAATAAAATTCAAAATCGTCACTACTTGAACCAGCATCTTCAGTTTGTAAGGTAGGAAGTGAATTTATAGGTAGTGTGGCATATAGACCCATTGCTAGGCAATGACCGCGAAATAAGCAACCATACAACAGTCGTTGCTAAGTCATGGCTCTTCAAACAACGGCCGTTACTAGGCAGCTGCCCGTAAATAAGAATAGAGAAATGGTGTTTTCTGTGCAGTCCGTGCCGGAAGTCGGTTGGTGAGTTAGTGAGAGGATTTTGTGTTCTGTGGCTGTTCGAAGCTGTTATCTAAGGTCGGAGATAGTTCTGGAACCCAAAGGAAAGGGAATGTTCTCCGTTGGAAGCCGCTACCAAGCAACGGCTAGTGAAGACTTGACTGTGGACATTAGCGTGTGTGTAACAGTGCTCTGTAATGTATAGTCACGCGCTATGTCAGAGAGCCCAATAAATGCGACCGTCAATTCAAATCCCGTAATAGTCACTAAATTTGTGGCATGAATTGTTTTTCTGGATTCGGGAACTGCGTTCCATGAAAAAGAAATGTGTCCTTCAAACTGTGACGCAACGGAAACCTGAATGTCTGTCCGCTCAACATAAAACGTGTATAACAAAGAAACAAAACTTGGGATCCCCACACAGCTCTGCGGAATCCCCTCGCCCCGCAGTGACAGCGTTTGCTTGGACTGCGCCGTATTTCAAGTGGCAGAGCGCTTTATGGGCGCATGGGCCGGAAAACAATGTTTATTTCGATTGTATTCTTGCTGGGAACAAGCAAGCAGTTTTTGTCAGAGAAATGCTCATGTAGGTCGCAGCTTGGCGTTCATTTTCAGATTGCCTCTTTCTGCCTTGAGGCACACCAAATTTTGTGAGAATTTCAAGTTCTCACAGCTCTGATTATGAACAGTTCTATCTTATGGCATATAATACCGTGTAGTCCGTTGAAAATCAATCGACGTTTCGAAAGAATATATCTCATTTGTAAGATTTGAAGTTTTAATGGCTGTGACTATGAAGAATGCCGTCTTCTGAGATGTTGCGCCGTATGGATCTTGTGTGAACTGACGTTTCGAAGAAAAGTATCGCCTCCATCTTCAGGGTTGAAAAACCCTCGAGCAAGGAACCAGCTTGAGCAGTTTAGCTGGATTTTTCAATTGACTTAATCCTTCCAACCGCACTATGGCCCTGGGCCGACCCAACCTCTAACATAAATGAGTACCAGGAATCTTCTTGGAATATTCTTGGGGGTAAAGGGAGGGCGGCCCGTAAGGCTGACAACCTCACAGCCATCTGTGAACCGATTTTCTAAAAAATATGGGAGCCTCGACGTCTCAAAATCCTATGGGTCTCGACGGTTTGTTACAGGGATAGATTTACCTTTTTACCTTTACCTATAATTTTAATTAAGTACATAAACAAATTTTCGAACTTAGGTGAATAAATAATTAAGATATTTGAGCTTATTGCAATAAACACTTGATCATGGATGTTAGCATGGCTCCTGAAGGCCCGTATGAAGCAGAAACCGTCTACTTTTCCAATCTTCTTCAAGCGCACTTAAGATGCCAAAACTCCCTTCCTACTTTGTCTTGAAACTTGAATTCAGAAACAGAGAATTGTAACATTCCTTTGAACTTCGATATTTGACGTCGTGAAAAAGGTAATGGACTGATAAATCAGTATTCACATGGGAACTGATAAACTTGAAGAGAAGAGAGAGCAAATTGAAGAATCGTTTGACACTCTCCAAAGATTAGAGAACTCCTCTATATAGGAAGGTACACAAGTTTATATACTCCTTAGGTAGACGTTAAAGAAGATCACACAGGGAAAGTGCACAATTTGAGACATTTATTCGGAAACATTACATAGTGTTCAAATAAATGAATACTGTATCTCGGAAGACTCGAAACATCTACGAGGATATATTCCATATAATTTCGTAATATAATAAACATATTTTAGAGCACACGTATTAAAGTTAAGCAGCGGCACGCACACAGGTGCCTACGCAGAATAATACCTGAACAGTGCTGAACGCAAGAAGTAGCCGCTGCAGAACTGTAGACCTAGAGCAGGTATCCCTGCGAATTTTAAATTTTAAAATTTAAATTGAAGATTTTAAAAATACTAAAATTCAAAAATCAAATTGGCGTATGTAAATTAACAAAGATTTTATACATAGCTGACAAATATCAGCAAGGGGATTCTGATATATCGGGACCTATTAACAACGGAGAAAGGAACAATTAAGTAAGCTGGTGTTTTTAAATTTTAAACTACGTGCAATGTAACAGTTACGTGAGAGTATACACCTGATGATGGCCATTTACGGCCGAAACATGTAGTGTAGAAGAAAAGAAGACAAAAGAACTACAACAAATTGTTGCATTTAGGACGCAGTTTGTGTTATACATATTTTAGGAGTTATAATTTTTTCAACATCAAAAATTGCTAATTTGCGATTCTTTATTAAATATATATAAAAAGAACACGGATAACTCAGTCGGTATAGCGACGAGTAATGGGCTTGATGTCAAGGGTTCGATTCCCGGGAGAGGCAAGCGTCCAGAGCTGTTCTGGGCCCACCCAGCCTCCTATCCAATGGGTGCCTGGGGTTCTTTCCTTGGGAGTAAAGCGGTCTGGTCTGTTGTTAGCCTACAGTAGGCGTATACTCGTATTTTCCTAGCAAAGCAACTAATTATACTGAAACAAATGAAGACTCCTTAGAATTCTGCAGGCGTACTTGACAACAAAAGTATATATATTCAAGTTCTGAGTCTATTACTGCGCAGCTCACGCTTGATTAGTTGGGGTGACGACTCCGTTTTCCCTAGGGACCAATAACTCCAGACATGAAAGGTAATCTTCATCAATAGAGAACAATATGAGGCAAAAAGTTGGAAACAAAGAAAAGTTCTGAACTCACGACCTCAGAGCACGCTGGGCCTCTGTTGTGTTCTTATTGCTCCACTCTTCATAATGGATTTTTTTCTCTTGGCGCTAGAGCCCTCATTTGGGCCTAGGCCTACCTCCATGAAACTCTCCGTTTCACTTCGGTTTACTAGATCTTACACATACGGTAGGACTCCTTGGGCGAGTGATCAGGTCGTCGCAAGGCCTTTATAATGGTTTAGAGACGTCATCACTAACTGGGCCCTTGTGATGAGGGTAATAACATTCGGGTTTCTCAGAAGGAAGGTTTTTTTGAGTAGCTGAGCAACTATTAGCTACTCAAGAAGGGCTCTCTTGCAAGCAGTTCCATTTTGATGGAGTATCAACACTGCACCACCTATTATTGGACTTGAAATTCTCAGAACGATGGATATGAAAAGATTATCCTCTGGGATGTGACGCCGTTTAGTCCTGTAGATATTCATCAAACATGAGTGGAACTTGAGGATCAACACAGCATTTGTTCTAGGGCGGAGGGAAACCACGGATAACTCTGTGAATCAGTTTCTGTGGGAGTGAGCGTGGGGTTAAGAAAGTATAGTAGAAGAGAAGATGAAAAAGGAAAGTTGTGGAATAATTAAGACACTTTATTGTGGAGGTGAAATAAAGATTAATTTTACCATAACTTTCCCTACTTTCTCCCGCTCGTCTCTTTTAGTGGCAGTGTGAAAGTGAAGACTTGAAGTTGATTAGGGGCCGCGGAATTTTAATTTCTTGGATTCTGTGTATATTTTATAATTTAGAAAAAAAAAATTAGTGGTCTTTACAGTAGAGGGGTTTGATGAATGAAGTCCGGGGGGCCGCATGCGAAGTACTCAGTAACAACCTGGAATTTGGGAACCATCTCAGAGCTTGCATCGAGATAGAGGAAAACCACGCAAAACCTTTGTCGAGTTGGCCGATCACAGGACCTCCCGGATGCACACTGACTTCTAGCCATCAGTCGGCAACATTCCCTAACGTTTCCTCAATATATGTCAAACATGAAGCTACCCCTGTAACAGGCCGTGAAGGCCGATAGGGTTGTGTGACGTCGAGGCTCCCACATTTTCTCTAGACGATCGGCTTATAGATGGCGTTGAGGTTGTCAGCCCTACGCGCCGGCCGGCCGCCCTTTAACACCCAAAAGATTCCTGG